CTAAACGTTCACCAAAAAACTTTAGTGAGAAAAATCGAAAAAACGAACTACAAACATATTACGCCAAACATTCGGCAGAATTTATAGAATATTGTAAAAATTATGGCCTATTACCAACATTTATATATATATATATATGTATATGTATATATATATATATATATATATATATATATATATATATATATATATATATATATATATATATATATATACATATACTAGTATTCATTTTGAACAAACAAGGAATCGACAAAGTAGAGTAGAGACATATTTTATGTATATTTGAGCATCTGGGCACATACACAACGTATCAATTCGAACATCGAATACGGTACAGGAATACCGTAAAAAGCGTTTTTGTTCTATCATGCATAAAATAAACTAAATTTTTGGTTTTGAACCCAAGATACTTGAAAAAAGTTTACGATCAACCGTTAGACAAATCGAAAAGTTAAAAAAGAAGTTAACTTACGCCAAACATGCCGTAATTTTTATCAATAATAAGTATATATAAATATATATATATATATATATATATATACACAAGTAAACAAGATGTTATGAAATATATATACTCTGTCACGAGAGCTTAATGAGTCCAGTATAACGTTTGCCACCATGATCATTTTTTCTGATACTTGCCTCACCGAAATTGAGCTTTGAAAGAGCAGAAGCACATGTTTGGCTTTCTGACTTATTGTGTTGATGTAGCTCGATCTGTTGCATTTATAAAGTATGAATAATAATTCATCATTCTTCATAATTTTTTTAATTGAATTAAAGTTTGAATTGATCATATTTAACCTCAATCTATAATCAGACGTGCTTGGCAGAACGATTGCTGGATACATGACAGTTGGACCTGTTTCAGATGTGTAATACCACTTGTTTCTGAAGTAGCTACTTGAATAACGATCTTTCACAAAATTGTAAAAGTTTTGAGAAACAGATTTCAATCTCACGTTATTAGAACACATGGTTTCCAAATTAACCTGCAAATTTTGACTGAGTTATTTTTATTTGAAACATTGCAAAAAATTAAAAATGTTACTCACATCATTGAAAAAGTCTATATTAAAATTGTATCCGGGAGCAGATGAGTTGGGACATAATCTTATCTGAATATCTCCCGATTTGTCATCAAGTAGTTCAATCATTCGGTCAATGTCATTAACACTCGCATCCAGCCTGCTTTCTAATCTTTGCGTTATCTAAATTTAAAGTTTCCTTTTACAATTTACATTATTTGTATCATTAAATACTTGCATTGATATTATTTTAAACATTTTTTGTCGAAAAATTATTAAAAAAACGCACGTTCCGAATGGTTTCATTTTTTTCTTTCCACAAAATATATGTGGGAATAGAATTATAAAAATCCTGAATCAATAAACAAATTAATTTTAAATATTTAATTTTATTTAAAAAAAAATAAAACGGAAAGTTTAGAAATTTGAAAACGCTTGTTCATGCATTGCATAAATTAGGTTCCATTTTAGAAAATATCTCTGCCTGACAGACAGCGGTAAGTCATCTTTTTTATATTATTAATACTTGCTAAAAATTTGATTTCAATCAAATATTTCGAGTTGAATCTTTTGAGTAAGAATTGATTGACATCAATTCTAAAATTAGCAAGTTACGAAGTAAACTAAAAAGATAAATGAAAAACCAAAAAGCTCTAATAAACCAGAGTCAAAAGAAATTAAAAATGCTGCTTAACTGGTAAACAAAAACACGAAATAACTTTTTTAAGAATTTGTAGGAGCCACCAAATCACCAAATAGGTGAAAATAGGAAATGAGAGTACATGTAAAATCAGATTACTTGGTTAACTACAACATGAATTTTTAGAAGTAGTGTAATTTTAGACTTCGATAACTACTACACTCAATCTTTGCCACCGTGAGCACAACTATCCAGTCGTCACTCGATCAACTTATCAAGGAAAAGGCTTTCATCACAAGACACCTAAAATATATTAACACTCGTTAAATATTTGTCATTTGTTCATTTTTGTCTATTCATTTTCTTTTACAAACTCTTAACTTATTTACTAAGTCAAAAGCTAGTCGATTAATTATTATTCTGTTCATTCGTTTTTTTATATCACTGTTTTATATTCCATGCTTACTAAGCTTAAACATTCCTACTCCTTATCATTCTTTTCTCTTGTTGATCACATAACTTGCTTCTTTAAATAGTCACATAATTATTTTATTCATTTGTTTTTTAAATCATTATTTCATTTTCCATGCTTCTCATGCTTAAATATTTTACTCCGATTTATTTATTTTTTAGTTATCATTCTATACTATTACTTTGCATGTTGTAACAACCGTTTCTGTGTTTTTCGGATTTTGATTTTTTTAAAGAATCAAATGAAAAATAATAATGCCCATTTAAATAATGTTCAGTTTTCAATCATAAAATACTAAGAATTTGTCATATTTAAAACTTTGGTTGGTCGATCGTTTATTTACATGACGCAAATTATTTTTCTTATGCTCAAAATAATAATGCACGTGCAACCGAGTAGACTTGTATCACATACTCAAACCTCAAATTTGTCCACTCCCAAATGCTCCTGGGCGATTGAGTTCAGTTGTTGGAAGTAAGAGCTAGCCAAGCTGCCGGAGCTGTCAGATCTCGTATGATGTACGTGCAACAAGAACAACACGAAGCACTTCAAGATGGAAATATTGAGAGCACACCAGGTCTCATTCATATTTAATTATTAAATTTGGAGACAACGTGTTTATAATCTTTTTCAATCCATTTATTACATTCAACAAATTTGGTATTGTACAAGTTCTTTGAAATCATCTAACAACAAATATTTTTATAAAAATTTCAAAATTACAAAAAAAAACATTAAAATTATTTTGCATAACGAAAGGTTGTAAAACTAAATTAACATCGATGTTATATTTTATAACAACTAATAACATTTACTATTTAAGTTATCGTCGTATAATAGACAGCTACAAAATACGTTCCATTAAGAAAGTAGACCATTGTTTAAGTGTTCAAGCAATTATATAAAATTATCAAACTTGTTTAATACATGTTGACTAGATATATTTTACAATAGCGAAGTGAAACAAAAAATGCCAATGGTACTCTGCGTTAAATTTGACTTAATGAAATTTGTGTACCATGTCTGCCTGCATGTTAATTAATTTTTATCTGACAAAATATTATCAATGCAATAAACAGTAGTAGTTTAAAAAAACTTTACGAATGATCACTTGCATAATTCAGTTTTTGTGCTAATATTCATCATCTGTTTTAAAAATGTAAAGTAAATGTGGACGCGTGAAATGAGATTATTTTTGGAATAGGTAATACTTGAAAATATTTTATTGTCATGTAATATTGTGATATCCCTTAAATAACATTTGCTGAATAGACATACATAGTTGCGATGGTCTGCTGTGATGTGATGTGACGTAATGTGTTGTCATGTCAGGCTCTGATACTAATTTGAATAACTTCAGTATTTTCGCGATATAAAATTATCGTATTATTTATATATTATGTATATATTATTCATATTGAATATATTTCAATGAATTTTTCAGCTTTCTTGTTATTATTAATTTTTTCATTTTTATTAATATGATTTTTTCTGTTGATAATTACTTTATTATAACTATTTCTGTAATTTGTATTGCCGTCGTCGTCGTCGTTGTTGTTTTTATTTAGTGGCATCTGTCTACGACTATTTTTATTGTGTCTATTTACAAAATGGCTGGAGTTGTTGAACATGTTGTTGTCATAAGAACGAATATTATTATTATTATTATTATTGTTGTTATCGTTTGAACGGGCATAATTGTTTTTCCTGCCACGAACTTGATTCTTCTTCACCCGATGGTTCACAAAACTTTCTCCCCTCATTATTCCTGCACTCTTGTTGTTGTTGGTTTGGTAGTTCTTCAAATATAGTTGTTTGTTTTTTATTGCTTTGTTGACTGGATTGTTGAATGCATGGTCGTGTTTGAAAGTGTCGTTATTACTTATTTTATTCTGAAATCCATTTCTGTAGTTGCTGTCTTGGTTGTTGTTGCGCCTATTGTTGTTGATGTTGCTGTTACGCTTATTGTTGCTCTGGTTGTGCTTGGACCAATGCCTTACATGCAAGCCCGGCATCGAAGTCGTTTTCGACCTTTGCTGATGATTATGATGATAATGGTGAACCACCTTCATAGTTCAAACAAAAGTTTTCAAAATTAGAATATATCACATTTATAAATATTATATCATAAAAGTTTACTCGTGAAACAATTTTTACATAATGGTTCATGAGGAATTAAATAATTTATTCATTTTCATATGCTAATCATTTTTTATAAATTCATCATTAAATTAATTTATCTATTTTTTAGCGTTCAAGAATAATTATTTATTTACGTGTTATCCCTATTCGTCCTTCTATCGACATACTTCTCCCATTTAGTTTCATAAATCTTACAGTTGTCTATCAGAAAACGATTTTTTTCAAATTATTTTATAACATAAACTTTTCTTATTTTTTGTTTTTTTTTCTCCAAAAGTTTGTTATGATATGGTTGGCTGAGTTTGATAAACTATGTACTGCAAAAAATAAGTGATATTAATTTTAAATACCATTTCCATAATTTTATCATTCTGTATTTTTATAATTCTGCTAATTATGATCAAAAAATTAATTTGTAGAAAACAATGCAGTTTTTTTCTGGTTTAGGGTGACCTATACAAGCTCTTCCAGTTTTGGCTGTATAATGTGAACCTAAATTTGATGATTATCTGATTTTTTTAAATTCAAAATTATGAAAACTAATTCAAAATATGTCAATGGAAATATCATGCCGAGAAGTTTGTGGAAAATCGTTCATTTTTGTTTTATTAACTTATCAAGATGCTCGTTATTTTGTGATGTGCTCGCTTAATATTTCTAAAGATAGGTTTCATGAACGAACCGACATGTATTGTTCTGCTGATGATTATAATAGTAAAGTCAATGGCGAGTAGAACTTAAATTTAACGTTCAACGTAAATTACATAGCTCAGAAACTCAGGTAGCAAAGTTAGAGCAAACTGTAAATTAAGTTAGCTTAAGTCCAATACTGCATTCTTTAAATATCAATACATTGAGTGGCATTGTTATGCTATATGACAACGAGTTAACTCGAGCAAATAAATATTTCACGCTTTTCAAATTACAAATCACATCGTACGTAATTAAGTATGTGTATTTTGCATATGAAGTTCAGCTGTACTTAACTGAACTACAGAATAAGGAACAAAATAATTTTGATTCTGTTGCATATAACTACAAATGATAGTAGGTACTTGTTTAAGCCAATTTTTTCAAATGTGATTTAATATGTTTCAGATATGTTCTAGTCTTATTAAATATATATTACGTTTTACTTAATATTTTTATGTTTTCAATCACATACCGCTAATGCATTATGATGGAAGAAATTAATTAAAACAAAATAATCTGATGAATTAATACATTTATAAAAATGTAAATAAATGAATGATTGTATATATGAGAAAAAGAGTTGATAAATGAATGGATGTGTTGAAAAATTAAATAATTACTTAATTAAGAGACAACTTACTCCATCCTCTTCACTCTGTCTCAGTTTCCTCCTTTTCCTCCTCCTTTTCGCACTTTCATCATTATCCGCATATGACATTTTTTCAGCTTTAAAACCGGATGTTTTATAATAATAAATCATTTATTGGCTAAAGTTTTTATTTAACGGTAGTTATTTACAGAGCAGCCGATGAGTTACAAACTTTTGTTGCACTTGTTCCCTTTCCATCCTTTGAAGCACTGGCACTGGTCAGGAGCCACACACTTTCCATGCGCATCACATCCGTTAGAGCACAGAGCTTTTGTGAATAAAAGACAATTAAATAATTTTACGCAAGTAACCAAATAATTACTATCTTAAATATAAAATTGAAATTTGGTGCATATTCAACGGCAAAAACGTTTTTCGATTTTCTGAAAACGATTGTGAATGTAAGAGACACAAACAATACTGGTCAAAATTAATAAAATTTTTATTGGGCACTTGTCAAAAAAACAATTCTTTTTAACAAAACAGGTGCCGTAAACATTTTGATCATGTCCACAGTATTTCATTTCACTGTCAATATGATTTTAAGTGATAGTTGTTAAGGGTGTAAAGTGTAATTATGGGTGAATATGAACCAGGATATGCATACGGCACGGTCAAGACGCATAAGGCTAACAACTCTCTACGACCAATAATTAGCCAAATACTTGCGATCACTCATCCTATTGCAAAAATTCTCAACAAAATAATTACACCTTACACCCCTTACAGCTAAAACTTAAAATCAAGTAGGGAATTCATAGATATACTGTCAACAACAAAACCATCTATTAACACCAAAATAGCTTCTTTGGATGTGGTGTCACTCTTTACAAATGTCCCTGTATGTATAGAACACAATCAGCATAATAATAGATAGAATATACAATTCCAGTCGTTCACCACTACCAATTCCAAAAGATAAATTAGTATTAGAATATGTACAGATGAAGCCCCTTTCGTTGGCCTGGGTAACACGCTACATTATATCAGCAAATAGACCGTGTAGCAATGGGCTCTCCATTAGGAGTACTCTTCGCAAACTTCTATGTTGGATATATCAAAGAAATGTTATTTAAAGAAGAACCAGAGCTAAAATCTAATATATACTGCCGATACGTTGACGTTATATTCGTTACATATGAAGACGATGATCAAATAGAAAAACTTTTACAACGACTAAACTCGTCAAAATTAAAGTTTACAATGGAAAAATCAACTGATAATAAACTACCATTCCTAGGCGTACTAATACAAAATGTGCAAAATGAATTTGAAACCTCAGTATAAACCAAAGCAACAAACAAAGGTTTATGCCTCAATGGCAATAGTGAATGTTGTCAAACATATCTAGAGAGCACGATCTCCATTTTTGTAAACCGAGCCTACACACACTCTTCTGGTATAGAAAGCAGGAGAACAGAACTATATAGAATCACTTAACTACTCATTAATAATGGATATAAAAATTCCATGATCCAAAAAATAATAGAACACAAAGAATAAAAAATCAACAACAAAAACAATGCAACCAACAATAGTAACAAAAATAACATAGTAATAAATTATAAGAATTACATGTCAACCGCTTTCGAACAGGATGAAAAAATTATTAAATGAATTATAAAAAATAACGTCCAAGCAATCAACGAAAACGATATTATTAAACTACAAATATATTACTCCAACCAAAAAACGTCATCTCTTGTGATGAAAAACAACTGCACTTTTTAAACCAGAATCGATACTGGATCATAGCCATCTAATATATTTGTTCAAATGTAACATTGATGAGTGTGGGCACCATAATTCCGAATATAATGGTATGACGACGACCAAGTTATCGAGAAGACTCACGATGCACGTACAAACAAGCGCTTTAAAGAATCACATGAAATAAAAACACAAAACTAAAATTACTAGGCAAATTTTGGACCACAATGTTGAAATCTTACATTACAATAACAACCATTATAATTTAAGACTAGCCGAATCAATACTCATAGAACAAGACATCCGATAATAAATATTCAACAACGGGCAATCGGAATACTTCCTATTAATAAATTTAGAAACAGAGGAATCATCAATAATGAAATAAACAGCATTTATATTATATATATATATATATATATATATATATATATATATATATGTTGGAAGAAGACTATATTTTATACAGTATAAAATACTGTATAAAATAAGGTCTCATCCAACATTTACGCGTATTTTTACGACCGAGCAACAAAACCCGACAACCCAACAACCGAGCAAGAACGTGAGCAGCTTCATATATTTATGTAAGCCCATGGTTAAAAACAACAGTCATAAAAACTATCATTTTGCCCCTCAACATTTATCAATAGAAAACCAATCCAAAAAAAGAAAACCAAGTAAATAACAACGACAATCATATCACTGAAAGCATAAACATTTTAATATATTACCAAAACCCCATATCGACGACAGCGTTTAAACAGGTCGAGAAAATTGTGAAAAGAATTATTAGAAACAATGTCAAACCAACCAATGAACAATAAACCATAGAACCTATGATTTGTTAAAAGTCTCATCAGTAGCCTGAGTTTAAACATTAATTATTTACTAACTTAGTAGATAGTATTGCAAACTAAGCTGTTTATTTTAGGTAATTCATAAAACTCATTTTGTTCGCCAGAGACGTACTGTTACTTTGCCGAATAAATAAAATAGTGTATTAACTTGAAGATGTTAAAACTATTGAATAAGGACAACGAGTAAAAGAGAGATTTATCCAATTTATAGCAGTGAATAGTTGAAATAACTATGTAACTACAAAATAACACACAGAAAAAATGTTTACATAAGAAGTGATTTATTTTTTGAAAATAAAAACTCGTATTTAGTATTTTGGTCTAGAGCCTGTTGAAGGCTTTAATCCTGCTTAGTTTGTATGTACAGTCGCACAATTACATGGTGCATTTTTCAGGGTATTAAACTTTTATTCAAAACATAAAATCCAAAAGTTATTTTAGTTGTATTTATGCAAAATTTTATTGAAAATTCAATCAATAACAAATGATGAAACACTAACGCCTCTGACATAGATGACCAGTGTATCCTGAAGGACAGGTGCATTTGTTCAACTGGTTGCAGTGCCCTCCATTTTTACATAGCAATTCACATTTACCTGAATGGTCAATGTACAACTCTTCAAACTAACATTGTTTCGCACGTTCAAACATATTTTATATAAACATTTTATAAATGCACATCCAGTTGCAGCGGCCAAAGCCACTTAGGATTTATAAGAAGAATAATGGTCGGCAGAGAGAAGCATATCATACTGAAACTGTACAAAACCCTAGTCAGACCTCATCTGGAGTACTGTGTTCAAGCATGGAGCCCATATATGCAAAATGATAAAGAAGTTTTGGAAAAAGTACAACGTAGAGCCACAAGAATGATTAGAGGAATCGGAAAAATGGAATGCGATGAGAGATTGAAAAAATGCGACTTAACATCATTAGAAAAAAGAAGATTTAAAGGAGATCTAATCCAAACATATAAATTGATCACGAACAGAGAAACAACACCATACTCGAAATTTTTCAGGCTAGCAAACAGTGATAAACAACGAGGACACAGATTTAAGATTTTCAAAAACTCGGATGGAAAAATAAAGAGCACATTTTTCAGCAGTAGAGTGGTCAACGCCTGGAACGAGCTAAGCGATGATGCAGTCTCTGTTAATTCACTCAACAGCTTCAAAATCAAACTCGGACAGATAGAATATTAGGAGATCTAATTAGTAGTGGTTCTTATACAGACTATAATCTTTTGAACCACTTTAAACCCCGTTAATAATAATAATAAAAATAATATATATTTATGCTGTCAACTCATTATCATGAAAAATTTGTTGTAAAATTGTTATAAATGTTTGTGCTAGAAAAATATTTTCGCAATATTGACGGGTTAGAAATATGATGAGACGCAATGAATGAACCTGTTTTGTGATGTTGACACCTTGCACCAATGAACCCAGGCAAACATCTGCACGTTCCATGCTCCATACATATCCCGCCATTCTCACAGTGGCATACTTCTGTTGGTCGTCATGCAATTTATCAGTTGGTGTGGTTGGGTGTTTGTTGATGTTGGTCATGAAGTTGTTAGTTGATGGGATTGGTTGTTGAATATTTTCCAACAACCAATCCCATCAATGAGCCCAGGCAAACGTCTGCACGTTCGATGCCCTATACATATTCCTAATTGAAAACATCCAGCAACATGTTGTTGATTGGTTGTTGTTGAAGTTGAAATAATCATTTTCGATACTTTTTGCGTTTGTAAGAAACTGTTGCGGATTTTATATTAGTACCAAAAATTGTTTGGATAAAAACATAAATATTATTTTTTTTAAATTGATAACTGTTTTAAAACTTATGAATCAATTGGAAACAGCCATTACGAAAAAAACGTTGTGCAATTAAGATAAAATTGAGCAGAAAATCAAAATCGGCAAACTTTTTACTTTACTATGAAAATAGAAAAACGTATAAAGGAAAAGGAAAAACTGCAACACGTTGACGTTTTGATTGTTTATTAATTTCAGTATTTTAACATGACATATATTAAGCGGTGAAACAAATTGAAGTCAACTCATTTCAGTGCAAGTATTGTGTGTTTTATTCAGACGTTTATATATTTTGCTGGATGTTTTTAAAGTCAATTTAAGAGCATATAATTATTAATAAAATTTAACGTTATTGTTACAAATCAACAAAGCAAGCCAAAAAATGAGAAAGCCTATAGACAGAGGAACAAACCCATGTCACACTTTCTTCCTCCGAACCCTGTTGGACACTGACACTTGTTGGGAGCCAGGCAGACACCTCCATTCTGACAAGCGGGTGTACACACGGCTGTTTGGTTTTTTGTGGGTGTGTGTGTTTGTTCATGCAGATATTTCATGAGTTTCATGTGTTTTGAGTTTATAATTTACGTTACCTTTACCATTGTATGTGTGCATGTTTCAATGTAAAATGACCAAAAACATCATTTCACTGATGTTTGCTTCAAGTTAGCAGCTCAAAAGTAACTATGACAAAAACCATAAAAGAAATAAAAAAATGAATTTTGGTTCTCAATAATAATAATATCTCATACCAGTTAACTACGGGGCACATGCTTCTCTGTTTCATCTCTGGTTATCGCTATTTACAATTGCAATGCGTATGTTATTTAATAATTCAATTTCTATTTCTATTATATTGTTATAACCGCAAAAATGAGCGAATTGCGCTATATTATTTGTTATCTTAATTATTGTTATCTTTGCTATATTTGTAATCTTTGAATTGTAAACCATAAAGGAATGTGAAAATGTATCGAATCTATGCTAAAAATCAACGTGGAGGCTATATAAGTTCATGCGGAGACACACAGGTTAGACAGACGGAGAAAAAGAGAAAGTCAGGCTTCCAGCGAGGTTTAAAGCGAAGTTGTGGTTTATGTAGTTACTTGGATTAGCTTAGTGTTTCTATTACTATTTGCACTCAAATAAACGTTCAACAAAGTTAACGTTTGAAGCAGTTGTATTCATCTATCGGAAATCTTGAACCTACGAAATAACAAACACTTGACGATCGTTGGAAGCTACAACACTGGTGTTGGAAATATAGAGGTTACTGGTTATAACATTGGTGTTGGTAGATACGAGCGTAAAGGGTTACAACAATATGAAAGTTCGCAATGTTTTAGAACTGCATCTCGCTGCCCTAGGTGAAACATTAGTTTTAATAATAAAATTTTTGTAAGCGATACACAAATTTTCACACACCAATTGTCATTTTCTAGCAGTTATTATAATTATGTGCTAGTTGATATAAAGCCTGTACTACTATGTGACGCAAAATATATACTACTATATTCAAGTTATATATTAATTTTAAATATTGTTGTTAACCATGAAAAATTGTTACTAGTTCTAATGTATCTATAATCATGAAATTTCAGAGCAAAAATTTAATTATGGTACATGAACCCAAACGCTGTCGAAAATCGTTTGGATTATTATACCCGAGCAAATTTGCCATATTTGCCATTTGTCATTTCTTGGTTGTTTGCTGCAAAGTTCATATTAACTGTGTGACATCGACGCTTGTGTATCTCTTATACTTTTTGTTTTAAAGTTTCTAACAAAAAGAGACCTTCACAATACAAACAATGTCTGCTTATAAGGCCTTGAAAGTATTTGATCATTCATAGAAAATAAAAAAAATTGTACAAACGTTGATCGCATCTTGGTCCCACGTAGCCTGGCCTGCAGTGGCATCCACCCGCATCTGCACATCTCTCCGCGCGTTTGCACGAATAGCTGCAAGCATGGCGAGCTCCTGTAGCATACGTTAAAGGTCTATTACTCTTTTCTTAGGTTCAGAGGAATCAACAACACTCAAACATCGTATATGAATAGATACACGCTAAATCTAGCATCACACACGAAACATGTGATAGGATCTTTTAGTCATATTCGAACCCGGTCACAGCACGCACTGCGTAAGAGCACCAGGCGACCACTAGGCCATCACGCCAACCGTATAGAAAAATGGATTTAATTTAATTAATTAATGTTATTTCTTTTTGAATTTTTATTGTTTAGTTCAACGTGTGCTGACAGTGGCGGATTAGGGTAGGGAGTCGATGAGGGCCCCGTTGTGAGCAGTGTTGCTGTTAAAGAAATTGACGTGAAAAGAAAAAAAAGTCGCCACCATAATTTTGGCCACACTAGCATATGTGGGAAGTTTTCAGCTCCGCATCAAATTTTAAAACAAAATTTAAACATAATTTCAAAATTTTGCCCCCCCATCCCTTGTCAAATTTGTTTAAATCCGTCACCTCATGCTGAAGCATTTTTGTGTTTGATGTTCATCAAAAGATTTCTGTTGCAACCAATTATTTTTGAAAAAAAATAATAAAATTTAATTCATGATAATAAAAAAATGCATCCATAAATATTAATTTAAAAATTGCAGAACTATTCGGGGTTGTGGAGCTAAAAATAATTCGTTTAATTATTGTTAATAAACATTTATAATTATCAGCACATCCATACATTCATCAATGAATTCATTCCATTCATCTATTCATGTATTTATCTCATCCATGCATCCATTCACAAATTACTGTCGGGTCCGAGACATCTCTTCTTCAGTCTGAACTTGAGAGGTGATCCGTTGAGCGGCCTGTGCATGGAGTTGAAAATCTCGAGGACGATATAGAGTGCGCCGGTGCCCGTCCGTTCTTCGTGCATGGGATGCTGATCTCAAACTCTGAACAGGTTGTTTGTTCATTTTGATGACATTTTCATTTTTGTTTTAGACAAATAGATTAAACACTTTTCACCCATCAGCTGCACACGTGCACAGTTTTAATCACTTGAAATTTTATTTCGGTTTCTCTCTCTTATTTGCTCGTTGGGTTTAAGGTAAAACTAGTTATTATTGAAATTAATTGTATAAACTGAATATATTATTATTATTATTATATTAATGTTGGATATAATATTGATAAAAAATCATTAAGCCTTCCAACTGATTTTAACTATTTCAACTCAATTGACAGACAAAAAATAATGATTGTAATTGTTACAAAAATAGTGCATTAATCAATATCAATGTAGAAGAGAATAAAAATATATTATTAAACTAATCAATGCAAAGAACATGAACAAGAAAAGAATGAGCAACACAAACATAAAAGGAAAAAAATAAAAATTGTTGGATGAAAAATAAAATAAAAAAGAAATAATGAGAAGCACAAGAAAATGTAGCTAAAAAAGATTCATAAAAAGAAAAAACAGGCAAAAAAGACGGGTGCAGAAAGTAACAAAATAAAGGAAAATGTGAAAACAAAACAAATTATAAAAAATAAATTAAAAACAACAATTAATTGAAAAAATAAGAAACAAAGTTGAAACAAAAAAAAACAGAAAAATGAAAATAAAAAAGAGAGAAAGAAGATATAATTGAAAAAGAATGTAAAAGAAAAGGAATGTGGGACTGTTGCCTTCTTAATGGCATGAAATTATTGGCAAGCGTGCTCACCATCCGTCTTATTAACGATTCAGCTTTTATGAAAATAAAAATAATTATCCGCAATAAAAGGAACTTCCGAATGTAAATGCATTAGGCAATAAACGTCATGCTGGTAACAGCTAGGTCATGTTGCAAGATACTTCAGGATGATGGTTATGATGGCGACGGTGATAATGATGCTGGCGATAATGATGGTGATGATGAAGAGGATAACAATTGAGACAAAAAAAACAATGATGATGGCGTTGAGGATGATAATGATATTAAAAAAGCTGATGATGACATTGATGTACGAAGTTGAATGACGATGATGAAGAAAAAGTTGATGATGTAATTACATCATTTAATTAGAACGGTAAGAATGATAATGATGGTACGGTGGTATTAAATTACTTAAAATCTCATAGTAATTTTATCGCGATTGGTAAATTTATATATTTATAAAAATATATAAACCAAACCTGCAAATATATATATATATATATATATATATATATATACGTATATATATATATATATCAAATTTGATTAAATGATTTTGTCCATTTATCTTTTATTAGTATCTTGAAAAACATTCAACAACACGTAACTGTTGCAATTCGTATTTATTAAAACTTCCAATCATAGTTTGGCTTACAACGTTGTTCCGACAAAGATGTCATTTTCAGAGCCTATAATTTAGAATCATAGAAATTAAGAAAATACAATTGCAATGAACCGAAATTGGAGGAAAAGTGTAATATATCATATTTATATCGTGTTTACATGTTATTACAAGGTATTCACAACTGGTTTTGGTTGGGTGGCCGTACAAGCTCGTTTGAGCTTTTGTGTCTCCATGCTTTTTGCTGAATAAATTGAATCGAATATATATAAAGTTATGTATGAATGTTACCGAAGGGTTGGCATTAATCAATTTAAAGTTTGGCCTTTCAATTTTCCTTATTAAAATTTTTTGAAAATTGTTCAGTTTGTTGAAAACATAATTATAATCCAGGTTCATCATAAAAATTTATTAGAACTATTGCTATCCAAGTTCATCATGCAAATAGGCCTTATTTTGATTTTTAACAAATCATCTTCAGTACAGGTTTGGTTTATATATGTAGATATATGTTGGTAATAGACCATAATTTTTACAATATTCTATAAATTCTACCAAATGTTTGTTATAAATTCTTTCTGGCATAGGCTTAGTTCATTTTTGATATTGCAATCAACATCACAGTGATCCCATTGATTCAACAAATCGGTAAGTTGATTCAATACCCTGAAAAATGCACCATGTAATTGTGCGACTGTACATACAAACTAAGCAGGATTAAAGCCTTCAACAGGCTCTAGACCAAAATACTAAATACGAGTTTTTATTTCAAAAAATAAATCACTTCTTATGTAAACATTTTTTCTGTGTGTTATTTTGTAGTTACATAGTTATTTCAACTATTCACTGCTATAAATTGGATAAATCTCTCTTTTACTCGTTGTCCTTATTCAATAGTTTTAACATCTTCAAGTTAATACACTATTTTATTTATTCGGCAAAGTAACAGTACGTCTCTGGCGAACAAAATGAGTTTTATGAATTACCTAAAATAAACAGCTTAGTTTGCAATACTATCTACTAAGTTAGTAAATAATTAATGTTTAAACTCAGGCTACTGATGAGACTTTTAACAAATCATAGGTTCTATGGTTTATTGTTCATTGGTTGGTTTGACATTGTTTCTAATAATTCTTTTCACAATTTTCTCGACCTGTTTAAACGCTGTCGTCGATATGGGGTTTTGGTAATATATTAAAATGTTTATGCTTTCAGTGATATGATTGTCGTTGTTATTTACTTGGTTTTCTTTTTTTGGATTGGTTTTCTATTGATAAATGTTGAGGGGCAAAATGATAGTTTTTATGACTGTTGTTTTTAACCATGGGCTTACATAAATATATGAAGCTGCTCACGTTCTTGCTCGGTTGTTGGGTTGTCGGGTTTTGTTGCTCGGTCGTAAAAATACGCGTAAATGTTGGATGAGACCTTATTTTATACAGTATTTTATACTGTATAAAATATAGTCTTCTTCCAACATATATATATATATATATATATATATATATATATATATATATATAATATAAATGCTGTTTATTTCATTATTGATGATTCCTCTGTTTCTAAATTTATTAATAGGAAGTATTCCGATTGCCCGTTGTAGAATTTATAGAATATTGTAAAAATTATGGTCTATTACCAACATTAACTCGAAGTTCTGCGACCAACCGACTTGAACTAACAATCGAACAAGATCGCGACTGCTCCATCTCTCTTGAGAATTAGAAGTTTAAAAGAATGTAGACCGACAAAACCTGACAACCGAGCATTAACGTGAGCAGCGATTGTTTCATCTTCCTCGGGAGTTAGAGGCAAAACAAAATAAAATTCACCATATATCAGCTACCCTGACTAAGTTTTTAGATGAATGGAACCGATGCAAAATAGCTGTTATCATCAATGATGAGCTCAACAAAGCCCAAGACAGAGGACTCAATACTTATAAATACATCTCAAAGCTTAAATTTCATAATAAGTTGACAAATCTAATAAGAACAAATAGTAATGGATTAACGGATCTGTTTATTAACCTCAGTAAATATCTCCTCACTGATAAACAAAATTTAAGATTAAACAGTTATATCATAAAGAAATCGAACATTATTGAGAAAACGATTGAAATTGAAAAACTGATGGTGCAAATAAATGAGGCAGAACGACAAACCAAGATTACTGTGAATTCATCCATTGCGTTTAAGCTACAACCTGAAACTAAGAAACAAAAAGACAATTTTCAGAGTAAACCTTTAGCAGAGAATCTTAGAACTGCCACAAAAGTATTTGAAAAAATGAAGAAATTGGCATTCACCGTTGAACAAGTCAAATCAATCTGTGGTCTTAGACAAAATTGACTACAACACCAATATCGAACACTTACTCAACAATAGCACAAAATTTTACCTAACTCCTTACCTAAAGACAAAACTCAACTCAATAATAAGAAAAATTAAAAAAAAACATACCTCAAGAAAGGTACTCCAAGGCAATTACTTACCTGGATACTTCTATGGCTGCATCAAAACGCACAAAAATAACAATTCCCTTCGATCTATCATCAGCCAAATTCCAGCAGTAACATACCCTATTGTCAAATATCTAAACAAAATTCTGACCCCATACATTCCTAGTAACTATAATCTCCAGTCTTCACGGGAATTTATCAATTTATTGAACACTAACAAACCATCAAATCATATTGTTTCCCTGGTTAGGGAAAGATTTGTATACAAAGATTCGATCGAATCTTTGTATACAAATGTTCCCGTCCATAACACAGTTGATATTATCATCAATAGTCTTTAGCACTCAGACATGGTTCCTTTAAAAATACCAAACACACATCTCAAATCTCTTCTCCAAATCTGCACCACCGAAGCACCTTTCCACACCCCTACAGGCAGCTATACAAGCAAATTGACGGTGTCCTGTTCGCAACTTTCTTTCTTTGAGGACATCTTGAGAGCAAAACGTTTTGAGACAAACCGGTATTAAAAACGAACATTTATGCCAGATGTGTTAACGATATCTTCGTCGCATACGATAATCCGGAATAAGTCAACGTGCATACAAAATATCCTCCGATATCAATATTTTTACATCTGAATCAATCCGTATCAAACAATTTTTAATCAATAACAATTGTTTGAATAAAACAATCGATGATACAATCAAAAATTACTTACAAAAATTGATAATTCAACAACTGCAGTAACTTCAACAAAAAAAGTAATACCATTATACTACCTAAACTAGATGCAAGACAGCTACAAAGTGAATAAATCACAATTAAACGAATCATCAAATCAAATGTTTCCGTCTGCGACGACAGCAATCGACTAAATTTCATCATATACTACAACACCCACCGCATTTTCAACCTCATCATAAAAAATATCAACAATTCCCCTTCACCTACGTTAGAAAGGACGAACGTCGCGTTTCGATTTACATGTCCTATGCCACACAGTGTTGTGGAAAGTTACATCGGCCACACGCGTACTACTCTTTTTCGAAGGCTCACCATGCATGTGCAGGATGGCGCCATTGGAGACCATATGGCCAACGAGCACTGTATGCTTCGCACTAGGACCATATTGGATTTAAATACAACAATATTGGGTTCAGTATTTAATCCCGGACGTCTCAAAATTTGCGAAGCCCTGCACATCAACAAACATAAACCAACATTAAACCAACAATATAATAGTTCCGACCAGACCCTTCAATTATTCTCTCAATATCGTAAACCGACACCTGCGACTGCAGTCAAAAACAAACCAGCAGACGTCCCAGTGCCCAAGCGATATGAATATCGTTCTACGTTTGTCAATTTTAGACAAGTTAATACACAACTATTAACTTCACGTCGTAAATCCACGATCATTACGTCACTTTCTATCTTATTTAATAACTGCTCAATTGTTTATTTTATTTTTATAACGTAATTTTAGGTTTTGTTTTAAGTTTTAATTTTTAATTAACAACTGCTAAACTGTTTTATTTTATTATATTACTTATTTCAATAACAGAATTTTAATCTTTTGTTTTAATTATTCACTTATTTTAATTATTTATTAATTTCAGTGATGGGTAGTTACTAACTACAAATAGTTAACTAGTTGTTAATAACTACTCACTAGCAGCTAAAAAGTAAATAATAACTATTTATTTAGAATAGTTAACTATTTGTATTAGTTGTTGGCTATTATAGTTAACTATTTTTAAACTACTTGAACATATTTTTTCTCAGAATTAATTTTTATCTTTTTAATTGCACATCCCTATTTTCAAGTTTGTTTATTAGTCAACGCCATTTCTTTTTCAGCATTTTTTAGTGTACGGGACGCGAGTGATTTGCGTTTGATTATTTATTTAATATGAATACTCAAATTATTAAATTGTGCTTTATTGACGCCGTTTTAAAAAAAGACGACGATAAAATTTTTACTGCAATGTGCTGCACGTGCAACAAAAAAATCTCTGGGAATGTGTGTAACTCTATTTGGCTTTGTCGCTTTGTCTTTCAACTTTTTGAAACATGTGAAAGTAAGTGCTTTATTGATAATTTGTATTTATATGAGTTATAGTATAAGCTTGTTTTGGGCAAAGTAGGAGATCGATACTGGGAAATTCCATAATAACACAAACAAATCATTGATGGCTTAAATAAAAATTAAAAAGTTATTGTAATTTACATTATATTTCATATATTTCTTTCAAGATAGTTACATCTACTAGTATTTAGTTTAGCTTATTGTGTAGCTGTAGCTGAATAACAAAAAATGTCAAAAAACAATAAATAAAATTTAGTCACATTTTTGGAACAACATCCTCCAGTCTACAATGATTATTCGGCAAAAAACACAGAGCTAACCAAAACGAGGAAGGTTTTGGGGATGAAATCGTGCCAACGCAAGAATTAATTTATGGTTATTTATTTATTTACATACACGCAGATTGCAAACCAGTGAGTCCTGTACTTTCGTCTTCTAAAGGAGAATTTGTGTGATTGCCCAGAAAATAATCAAAATTCTTCGGATCATGTGTTAGCCGATGAACTCAACAGTTACTTGGCTAACCCATCTAAGAATATTGAAAGTTTATTTTCCTATCCATCAGTAAGTGCAAATTTCATTAAACCAAATTCAACTTTACTTAGCTCTGCAGTGGTTGAGCATCTTTTCAGTGTTGCTGGACTAATTCTAACTGATAACTGCTGTAGATTTTCTGATGATTATACCAATAAAATGATTTTTTGAAAGATCATCTCAAACACACATTTAAAAAAACAGTTATTAAAAAAATACATATGTTGGTTAATAAATTTACAAAAAATTTTCAGAAGGTTTTTTTTTAATAATAATAATTGAAAGTAGTTAAAAGGAGTAGTTAATAACTACTTCTCTTGAAAGTAATTAAAAAGTAACTAACTATGTTTTTAGTCAAGTAGTAAACTACAGTAGTTCACTACTTTTTTGGAGTAGTTAACCCATCACTGATCAATTTTAATAATAAAATTTTAATATTTACATTCACTTTTATATCATCATACCGACCATCACCTTTTAATATCATCCCGCCACTTAACACTTGTTTTTCCCGTCAAATTATTTTATTATATATTAACTATTACAATTTTATTTTCATAAGTATTATTTAATTTCATTCTTTTAATTAACGTTTATCGTTTTATTTTAATATTATTGCTACAAGGTAACATTTATTTTATATTTTCACAATTTATGGCTACATATCTTATTTTTACGTTATACTTCTCTTTAAATTGTATTAACTTTTTCAATTTTACTAAAATTATAATTTAATTAATTATCAATAATCATTTTTCTAAGAAAAATCGAAAAGTTAAATTGGAAGTAAACTAACGCTGAACATGCTGTGATTCTCATCAAATCAAATCAAATCACTTTTATTCAATCAAACAAAACAAAAGCATGAATGATTCGGAGACCAAAAAAAGAAAATTAATTCTTGTGGGCTCGGCCACCGTGCAGCTCAAAATTGCTTCTCAATGATAAAATAAAATTGTCAATAGGATAAAATGTATCAATGTTAATGAAATATGTACACACTTATATACATATATATACATATACATTATTATCCTTGAAAAACAGAACTTTTCGTAATTAAAAAATTTTTCAGTTTATTTTTAAAAAGATGCAAAGTGTTACAATCTTTAATTTCTTGTGGAATCGTCTCCCATATTCCTGGGCCGGTATGTTTCAAACTCATGCAGAGTACTTTAATTCTGGCTGGTGGAGCATAGAAAAGTGGCGTGTGGCGTGTTGTTCTTGCTTGAATGGAAGTTCCAAAAGTGAAAAAGTTTCTAAAAAATGCCGGCAACTGCTGACGTAGAAATCTAAAAATGAATGTTGCAACGTGGTAGATGAACAAGTTTTTGATGTTGAGTATTTTCATCTCGAGATAATATTCACTTGTGTGACAATGAGGATGAAGATTTTTAAATATTCTGATGAATCGGTTTTGGCATTTTGTTAACTGTTTTAGATGAATGTCAGGACTGTTTCCCCAAATTACGTTGCAGTAGATGAGGTGAGGAAAGATTAATGAATAATACAGGTCAATTAGAGTAGGTTTATTTAATTTATTTTTAATTTTGCTTATAACTCCTAGGGTTTTGCATATTCTTTTAGACATAGTATCTATGTGAATATCCCAAGACAGATTGTCCTTGATTGTTACTCCAAGGAATTTTGTGCTGGTTGAGCGAGGAATAGAAATATTGTTCATTTTTATGTCTAGGTTAGGTATAATATTTGTTAAAATTTTCGGACAAAAAATAATGTAATTACATTTAGAATAATTTACTATTAATTTATTTTTGATAAACCAGGTTGATATATTTTGAAGACTGTTATTGATGTATTCTACTTCTTTCAATGGGTCTTTAGTTGGGAAGAAGATGTTAGTGTCATCCGCATATAGAAGGTGATTTGCATCAGTTGCATGTTGAAAATCGTTCATGAAGATTATGAATAGAAGGGGACCTAAAATTGATCCTTGTGGCACGCCTGATCTTACGTTAAGTTTTGTTGAGGAGTGACTTTTTATTGCCACATACTGGTCTCTGTTCTCTAAATAACTTTTGAACCATGCACTTACTTTTCCTCTTATTCCATGTGAATTTAATTTTTTAATCAGTATATCGTGGTTGATGACGTCAAAGGCCTTTGAGAGGTCTATGAATACACCTACAGTCAGTATCTTTTCGTTAAGATTATTCATAACATTTTGTGCTAATTGCAGCACAGCTTGCTCAGTTGAATGCTGTGCTCTGTAGCCATATTGATTATCATTTAATAATTTATTTATGGACAGAAATGAGGTGACTCTGACAAAAATTATTTTTTCTAGTACTTGAAAGGG